TCGTATCTATGACGCACACTCGATTAACGATCACGAACATAACGTTCCCGAGTAGAACGGGTGTGTATGGGTGGCGGGGAGAGAACGGCCCACCTCGACCCACCCACCACCCTACCGAAACATTCAACCTTGCTCGGTAACTGGAGGAAAATGTACTTTTATTTGTTTACCGAGAAGTGAGTTCATTCGAACTGGAGGGCGTTTAGACAGACCCGGTTCAACCGGTGACATTTGACGGCTGAAACACCAATCATCTTGTTGGGGTTTCCAATGCAGTGCGATTGGTTGGATTCACTTGAAGTTGAAAAGGCATAGTAATTAACCCAAAACAATGTGGCCGCACTTACTTTCCCGTTTGGTTTGTTCGCGTTTGCATTTTCGTGGCATATGAAATCAACTGAAGATTGAATGATTTCATTGTTTACGTTTTGCGTTATCGCTTGTGAATGAAGAATATACATCAATTCATTTCTCCACCCCTTTTTCTGATTGGGCAGACCATGCTGTCACAGAATCAATGCGCCGAGGCATTCTGGCTGGGCACACTGAAGAATCGTGATTTGCATGGTGTCGAATTGCAAGACGATTCACTTCTCTCGCGTCGTACCAGCTCCAGTTTGGTCAGTGGAATCTGTTCACAAACGAGTCGATCTGGTCGAGGCCGAAGGGGTGGTCGAGCTGGGGGGCCTGGTCGAAAACGTCCGACTCGTCGTCAAAATGACGATGTGAGCGGTAATGGACGGACAGATTTAAATAGCGATTCGGATAGTTCTGACACAAGTGTTCACCGCCCTAGTAGTGGTCGGAGTGGTTTACATCAACCGGAAGAAGAATCATCAGTGCGTGATGTTTCGGTACGTCTTAATCGAATCACAGATGATATGATGCGAGACCAAGCGGTTGTGGATCGTGAAGATGAAGTTGAAGACGCTTCAGAGGATGAGGATTCGTCCGAAGGTCCAGTCGATGAAGCTGATGTGGAAACTGTCGCGGATGACGATGAGGAAAACGAGATGGGCGAAGAGGCAGAGGAGGAAGAGGAGGAGGAGGAGGACCTTGTGATCGATGAAGAGGATGCCGAGGATGTCCTAGTGGAACCGAGTGACGAGGAAGAATACTGAATGTGGCACTCGCTCTTCCTGTTCCATAAAGTCGACAAATCTAATTCTTCCTACCTTGTTCTGATTACTATGTATCAATTTTATTATCCGTAACTCAGAATCATCATTTATATTTTTCAAAATGCAGATTCAATTTCAAAGTCACTTTAATTTGACAATTCCTCAGGGGGTGGGATAAAAACCAAAATCACATTGTTTTTTTTCCCAATGATATTCGAAAGCTCTGATCAGTTGAATTAGGTGTTATGACACCAAATAGGACGGATACTGAATGGGATCCGAAACTGTCCGGTTCCCGAATGGGTTTCCGCTACACAGTTTGGTTTTCGGCCACTGGCGAACGTTGCACTTCTCTCACGTCCGACTGAATAGCTCGCTCATCTCTACCCCCCGTCACACACTTCGATTCACGTTGTTTTTCCGACTGTTTCTTCTTGAAACTGGATTCTCGCAAACTGTTCAACACATGTCTGAGAACAACGATCGGTACCGATTTTAGCGGCAATACAACGAACGAGATATGACTGGTAAGAGATTTCCCGGGGATGGAAGAGTAGACTAATTATATGCTCATTCGGATATTAAATGTTCCGCCAATTTGGGTGCGAGTTCCATGATCGTCCTGGTGTTGGGGCTTCTGATTAAGGAAGCCTGAGTTTTGTATAACCTGTTTTTCAGCTTACAAACGGAGATGGAGAGAGAGTTGCGGAAATGGATACCAACTTGGTTCGTTTTGATCGGGATGCACAATCACTCGTCCTCAATCAGGTCATAATGTCACTATTCTATTTACAGCTGTTCAATCAGGTGCGCAACCGTCCTACTTGTGTTCGGCTTACTAGCTCCACGGCTCTGTCACTCGAGTTGGTGTACGTCGATGTACTTGGATAATCGCCTAGTCCTGCGATCAATATCCTCCGTTTCACCGAAACCGGTGATTGAAAGACCTCTTTCTGGAATTAATTGTTGCGTGATTATAAAACACCGACAGAAGCTTCTTTGTCATCTGGTCTCCTGGTACAATAGAGTTTAGGGGATCATTTTGCTGCTAGGTATGGTAAAATTCATGTATTGTATTCTATCTCATTCATTCATGGGTCCGCTCCAGTTTGCCCACGGGTTCAGTCACTGAGATTATTCACCTTACTCTAATCATCTTTGTATTTACTCCGGTTATTTGATCTTCGGAATAAACATGGTTTCCATTCTTGTCTGTCCTCAACCCTGATCGAGCTGTCTCTGGTGAATCAGTCCTTCGAGATGATGCCAGACAAGCGCCTGCTCATTCCACTTTATGGACATTGGGTCATGGGCCAACGGTATCGATCAGTGAACAAGCATGCAGCTCAAACAGAAGCCATGTCACTCGAGAACGGCGATTGGCTGATATACGTTTGGCCAATGGTGTTTCTATTTGCATATTATTTAACCTCATTGATTTTTTTGCAATAAGTGAACTGCTACTTTCGCGGCCTTTCTCTCTACGAGAGATTTCAGCGCCTAATTGCTAGTGCGACTCAGTGCTTCAGTTACGACTGTGATTCATGATCCGTAATGTATACCTACTTCGCCTAATACAAGTCACTTTTTGATACTCGTTTTTGTTGTAGAAACTGTCTTGCCCTATTTGTTATACTGTACCACGGATTTAAGCGGTATTTCTGTTTGCTTGCTTGCTGTGTATGCTTTCACATCTGTCACAACGAACAGCCTCCGAAAGCCTCACTATGGTTGAAGTTAAGTGTTAAGCGCATCAAATAACCTCTGCTGAAGAAGCACTGCCTACTGCTTTTTCGTGAAGGTGTTTTCCCACCAAAGTGAGAGAACGAAAAGCCGACATCCGGAGCTATAACCGGATTGGTGCACCACTGGTAGTTCACCTGGGGGAGTTGGTCAAAAACCCTGATTCCAAACCAACCAAGAGGAGGCACACAAGCCATACTCACTCACACCGTCCTGCTCGTGGCGATGGTCGCCGGCTCGATTGGGCAGCGCAGACGTTTGACCCCGTCCAAATGGTGTATGATCCGATGAATTTCCACACACCGTCTCTTTAACTTGCGATTCAGGCTTTGGTTGTCCGAAAGCTCCGGTTGTAGAATCCTCAAGAAAATTCACTTGCCCTGGCCTGGGCAACCTGTCAGTATTCTCCGCCCACATGCAAATGATGGAACGTTTTTCACTTTTATAAAGATTATTGTATGATAATTTGTTTGGCACACAGTCTGGCGTCAGTCAGGCGTGCATGAAACATGTATGGTCAGTCATTCCGAAGGTTACTTCGCGTCTCCCAAGAGAAATGGCAAAATGTTGTGTGGTCTGAAAAGAGCGCACGATAAAAATGTGAATTTGTGTAAAAATGATGTGCGTATTAGCCGTTAATTATTCCTTAGTGCCAAAGGATCATGGTATGACGTGATTTGTTGGCGGTTTGGCGGATGTAAGTCATCTAACGTAATGCGGACTCCTAGGCCTCCAGGAAATGGCCAAAATATCGCATTGGTAGTGGGGCGTATGTAATCTCACAATCGTCTACCCCGTTCTTCAATATATATATATTTATATATGTATATACATACATCAATTAATTAATTTATTAATTGAATAATTACCAGTCCGGCGTTTCTGACTGCTTGAAGAACGTTACCTGTCGGCCGCAGGTGTGTGATGTGATTGATTGTACGGAGAAATCTGGACAGGATCTGACAATCGCCGGTCAAGACTTTTTCCCTGAAATCCAACTGTAGGTCCACATTGTTATTCAATTCGTTTTACGCAATTGGCTTTTACTGTTTTGTTCCACATGAGAACTTTCATACTGTATCGGTTTGCACGTTCTTGCCCTCGTTCGCCCCTTGTCACCTCTGTTCCACAACGCAAACTCTCCCCCAGCGCATACCGGTGTATTCGCGGGGCACCACCACAACTCTTCTGGTTTAAACAGTAGTTACCCGGTTGTTTGCGAGTTTCGAGATGCGTTTATAAGTTTGTCACGACTGGCCGTGGTTGATGTACTTCAAGCGCAATCGCGGTGTGGCGTATTGCAGCAATGGCAGCAGTATTCTGCACAAGTGAAACACCGGACATTTTATCCACTTCACGTTATCCTACTACGTGAATTGCGCCCGTATCTCGTCCTGCTCACCTCGTCTCATCCACACGTGCTCTAATCCCAGGTAAAACTCGTTTTTTGTGTTCGTGCGCGATTTGGTGAATATATGCGGAGCGGTGGGAGAGAATACCGTTGTAGTGCGAATTTCACAGTCGTTGGATGTCCACTATTTTTGTTGTTGTTTGACAGGTCGACGCGTCTTGTCGTTCACCATTCTGAATTTGTTTTTGGATCTCCTCAAGACACGCTTCAGTGGTTCTTTGGTCAACCAGTCCAAAAGAAAGAATGATCTCACTCCTCTGTCTCCATATCAAACCGAGATCGCTTTCTTTTCTGACCAACAACTCGGACACAAAAACCTGGTGGTGACACAAATGCCGTGAAAAGTTCAACGGCGTGAATGATACATTCTCCCCTAACCGGGTGTTTCTTGCCCTTCTTCGTTCGATTTGTCCTCTACACTTCTGTCCGATGCACACCGGACAGACATATCGATACGTGACTGTCATCATCATCATCATCCTTGACTTGGCCGAATCGTTCCGTGCTGTACAGGACCGTTTGCTTTGTTCGGCTCTTTTCCTGTTCCATGTTTGTCTGCGGTTTTATGTGTATATAATAAGTATTATGTGAATGACTGGGCAAAGAATAGTTCGGGCGGATTAGTTGTTTTTTCAACATGCAACTGTTTGGGAAATTATGGTTCGATGTGAAATGCAGCTGAGGTCATGTGATATGAAGCTACTGTTGAATACCCAACGACGCAGTGCATGTGTAATACGAACACGTACTGTGGGACCTCGCAGTGCAGCGGAGTGAACGGATATGCGCGACAGGATGTCTGTCCCTCGGCTTTTATTCTCACAGCGGGAGACGACGATACGAGGCTTTGCGGGTGAACGAACGGCGGT